CAACATCTCAGCCTTGGCCATGTTGATCAACATAACTGGTCTACTCTGGCCTCAAATCGGGAGGCCTGGAGACACACCATCTATAACACTGCTGATGCTTTTGAGAAAACACACAGGATCACTCTCGAGGAGAAAAGACAACACTGAAAGAATCGTGTCTTGCTGATACCATCCAAGGAGTCTTTCTGCTGTGCCTTTTGTAACCGGATTTGTCTATCTCGCATTGGCCTCTTTAGTCACCAGCGCACTTGTAGCAAATGTGGGTAGAGTCCTTCCCAAATCTTCGTTCGCGAAGTCCAGCCACGATGATGACTACATGTATTGAAATGTTTACGATGTTTACAATTGAACAAGTTTTCTTAAAAAATAATAAAAAAGGGGGATTTGTGGGAAACAGGGCCTGGAAAAAACCCAGATCATGGCAGAGAACAGAGTAACTCATTACAGGAGTGAGCTGTAACTCCAAAACCTGCCGTTTCAACTGCCGTGACAGCTAGCAGCCAATCAGATGCTGCAGTCACAGTTTTTACCTTATAAGGTATGTTTGTCTGTTGGTGTTGGGTTATAAAAGGGGCTACGACCCCAACAAACTTGTCTCAGCTTCACCCCCGAGTCTGTGCCTCAATACACCACAGGATGACAGTGATTTTTCACATCTAAAGCTGCATGAAGTTAACACAATAGATATAAGTGAAAGGGCACAGAAAAGGGAAAAATTTGTTGCACCAAAATTGTAATTGACATAAAAATTGACATGTTATCAGATAGAAGAATCCATATAAGCAAGACTTCATACCTGCCTCAGCTGAGAGAAAACTCAAAAACTGTAGGTCAAACATCAAGATGATCTAAGGTTTGTATTACAGTTTACCAAAATCAATCTTTTCTCAAACTTTAAAGCCAATTTAAAAACTAATTTTAAAAGTAAACAATTAAGTTTTTAAACAGCAGATTTTTAGACAAGAATGGTATTTATATTTAGTTTTAGCTTTGTATCTCTCCCTTTACACAACTACCTGTTCTTCAAAGGAAAGATTTTAAACTTTGTCATTCCTGACTCATGATCCAAAAGATACTAGTACTTTTTTCTTTTCTCTCCTTCGGTAAAAACTTGCATGGCAAAGGACTGGAGCAGAAAATACAAGTCTACCAGACTTTTCATTCAAGAGTGTAAAATTCACCAAAGCCTAAAAACCTGTAAGTTTGAGCCCAACGTATGTTTAACACTAGTGCTATTAAGATAGAAGAGAGCCACTGTAAACACAGTAAGTGAGAGCAGGAGATCTGACAAGGTTGAGATGGAGTGCAATTGTTCCAAGCAGACTGGCTGGAACCAGATCGAGGAAGGTGAGTACAATAAAGTAGGAAATGTGTAATTATGTAAATAAAGGCTTCACGAAATACCCTTACATTTCAACACGGATCTAAACAACCTGATCAAATTAGCAGGGAACATTCTTTCTCATTAATTAATACAGTGGTGCCACCACTTTGATTTTCTTCCCAGATAACTAAGATGCTTTTTGTGAATGCCACGAGATGTTTTAAATAGCTCTGTACTGCACAAAAATTTTGGACGTTCTACATGTAGTCTGAAGCTCGTTCACAAAAGGGCTCATAGCAACCTAACTCTCAGGTATATAAAGAAACAATGAGAACCCTCTCCAACAAGGAACTTCAATATTTTGAAGTTCAGTCCAGAAGTATTTCATTTATACAGCTGACTTACAGACAGAGATCTACACTCCTAATTAAATGCCTGCATAGCCTATAAAATATATGGAAATATCTGGCACATTGGAATGGAACTGCAGTGTAGTGTCAGAAGCAGCACCTGGAGAAGCAGGAACTAAAACTAGTTCATTCCTTTTCAGCACAAGCATTCAAAAGGTATCTGGAAAATATGTCCATCAAATACCTCACCTGTGGATTTCAAGTTGCTTTGGAATGAATTCCACCTTTCTATTGACACATAGGTTAAACAGTTACACTGGCATTATGATTCCCATGTATCTTAGGTAAAAGCCTGAATTCCATTTGCTCTGTAACCTCAAGTATTTCAAAACCTATGCTTCCCTGTGTCCCAGAAAAGTGCTCCAAGTCCCACACTCTAGGTTTTCCAGTTCCCAAAAGAAAAGACTTACTGGCTAGAGGAAATCAAAATATAATCTAGTTTGGAAGATATTTTAACAATGTACGATGTGACTTGGGGGGAACTTCATTTGTAAAGATGACTTTCTTTTATAATCCACATAAGTATTTTCAGAAACAGCTGTATGTACCTTGCAAAGAAGTGAGTGAACTGAAAACCATGGCCCAGGTGACTAAGATGTAATGACTTCTAGTTATTACAATAGATTAAACATTCCTGAATGTTTAAGTGTTCTAAGTATGAATAACTGATGTGTTCAAAATGGTTTAGGAAGTTGTTTAAAAAAAATATTGTTACTTTCTCTTCACAAATACAATGGCAGAGCAACCAACTAAACAGTGATATGATAACTTCAAAGATTATTCAGGCATACAGGTTTACCAAGGGCATTCTAAAATGAGATTAGAGTGATAATGGAGCACAGAAACAGCAGATTCAGTATAACAGTTCTTCAAAATCTCAAGGTGATCACAGTATTTGGTCTCTAATCCACAGCAAATACAATAACAACTTCCATTTTTATTTTATTTTTAAATAAAAAATAAAACGTATCATTATTATGAAATATAATAGCCAACTGTCAATTCTATTTGGACTAAAAACTCAATTGTTTGGCTTTATTAAGGAAAAGGTTACAAAATGTGCTTTTACAGTGACTCCACAGGAATATCCTAAGAACAAATGTAAAACCATTAACTATACTGAAAGCATAAGGATCAGAACAATTCTAGAATCAGTGACTAGATCCCTGTCCAACAGAATTTGTCTTTCAGTCCCTGCTACCTACCACCCTTCTGAATAAGCCTCACGACCTAAAGATGACCTTGCATATCTTGGTGTAGGATCTTGTTTCTTTTATGTTGAGAGAGGTCTTGTTGCATAACATACAACTTTGTTGTTAATTCATTACACATTAGCTGTTGCTTATAAGCACATTATCTGATGTCTGTGGAAATATGTGTACACATAGTGTCCTTTTACTCAGTTATCAAAGAATCTCTCGCTCTCCAGTATTCTTCCCCACACACTAAATCTGTATTTGTTAGTTCTCTGAGCTTTTTATTCACTATACACTGGAGAGATGTTCTTCCTAGCTTCATTTCTTCTATCTTCTATCCTGTGTTTTTGAGGGGCTGATTTCTAACAGCAACTTCCTGAAACTGCAGCAAGATCACAATCTGCCCTGACAGACTAGCAGAGGTCACATTTGGGGGCAAGCAGAGGGAGGACAGATGGACACAGGATGGAACACACAAAAAAACCCCAAACCAAAACAAACTGTTCAAGACAATAAAGTTTTGGAAAATGTATTCACGCTAACATGAACTTGATTTTGGACAGGAAGAGGAGCAGAAACATTTAAAGCCTTCTACCAGAAGTGGAAACAAAACAAGGCTTGCTCAGGGGAAACAGCAGAGTGCAAACAGATCAGGACACTGATTGCTTGACATTTTCATATGCATGCAGGCGAAACATTAAACCAGCCTTCAGTTCCGAGCATTTTATTACCCTCAAATTCTTAAGGCAAGCTGTGAATGTTCCAAGTATTAAGAACTAAAAGAAAATTATCGAGTATCTCTAAATGTAATTAAGCTTCTCAAAAAACAGCCTCAATAAGACTAAAAAAAAAAGTTCTAAGGGGAACTACTGCAAAGTGAGGAAGGAACTGCAGGTGCACATAGCTGTGCGGGAACACAGGGTACTCTGCTAATAGCACTACGCCTCGCTGAAACAACTGAGTCAGCAGAATTTCTATTTATATGCTCTCTTCCTACAATAGTCACAGTCAAGGCAGGAAACTCAGCAGTCCTGCTTCAAGGGAGAAACTGGTGTGCTTGAGAAAGGATCAGCAGTATGGTGTAAGGTAATTCTACCTTTTAAGCTAATACAGGAGTCAAAATCCATTGGTAGAAAACAATTAGTTCTTGATGAAAGTCATTGAGATGGAGCTTTTGTGCCTTCTCTATGTCTCTTTGTTTCCAAAATAAGACACAGCCTCATTCAGAAACCTATTTGGTACACAAGTATCCAAGTAATTCGTAGTAAGCCCATTTTGTCTTCCCTAGGTCTGCATGTGGAAATGGCTCAGATCCTACACCAGTTTTCCTTTCGTGAGGCTGATATTCATGATGCTACTTAAGACACGTTTACTAGTGGGATTTTATTTTAGGTAGCTGAGGAATGAATACTGTCTGTGTGTTCACCAAAACAGAGTAATTCTTGGACCTGTTTGCTTAAGCTCTCTTACAATACAAAGTTGTTCTCATGTCAAATGGCTACTTTCTGTCATAGTCAAATTCCACAACTAGCCAAACCATTACTGAGGAATTCCTTCTGATTTCATGTTCTTAAGAAATTATCTCATTTCCAAAACTCATATTAAATGTAGTATCACTGGTATATAAACAAGATAACAAGACTTAACACTCCACTGGAAAAAAAAAAAAACAACAAACTGTTTCCCCAAATGAGTGGAAATATGCAATGAAAAAAATATGTAAAGTTTCTAAAAGATCAATGTGCTTAATTCTAAAAAAGCATGGCGTTACACCTAAAACAAACAATTGGCTCTTTAGGTATATAATCACTGACACAAAAAAGCTCATCAACAGCATTAGTCTGAGACTATAAATTTACTTTCTAGTCTACAGGTAACAATAAGCAAGCATCTATACTTATGTCCCATGTAGTTTTAATATCACAGAATATGCTGAGTTGTAAGGGACCATGTCCAGCCCTTAGCCCTGCACAGGACCATCCCCAGGAGTCACACCATGTGTCTGAGAGTATCATCCAAAAGCTTTTTGAACTCTGTCAGGCTTGGTGCTGTGACCACTTCCCTGGGGAGCCTGTTCCAGTGCCCAACCACCCTCCTGGATGAAGAACCTTTTTCTAATATCCACCCTAAACCTCCCCTGACAACTATGATCATTAAATGGATGCAAATTGTTACCGTTTTATCCCTGAGTCGTTCTCCATGGATAAGAAAATCAGCACAGCTATTCTCTTCCTGGGGAATGACTTTGAAGACTGTGACACAGCTTAGTCCACCCCCTCCAAGTGGTAACCATCCACCACTTGAGTCATCCCGGGTCATCACCACAGCTCGCACTCGTGCATAACTATTACTGAAAGAGATGCAAAAGAAGAAATTAGTTTTTCAAAAACAGAAACCAGCAAAGTCTAGTTAAAAACAAAACAAAACAACAAACCCATAACCAAGGTCACAATAATTAACACTGTCTTTCCACAACTGTCATCCTAGAAGAAACCCATAGACCACACTCTAAAAAATGTTCCTCTGTACTTTTATGACTTCATTAGGACTTTTTGGAGCTCACATGTAATTTCTTGTAAAGAAACTTAACCAGAGAATATAGTTCCCAAGTCAAAACTGATATCCTTCTAAAAACTTCACAGTCAGTAATCTAGCTAGAGGGTCAGGAAGAGAGTAAGAATCAACTCCCGATTTATTTTAGACTAATCATGAAGCCAGTCAGTCACCATGAAATTGCACAGAAAAGAGAACAAGAAAGCAGAAAGAGGTCAGGCCTTCTGTCACTGAAATCTAAACACGAACAGGCTTCTAGCCAGAAAACCCTGCTTCCCTTCATCCATCCCTCCTCCCCACACACATAACCTGTCCTTTGCAAGGGTAGGTCAGGACACACACATTGTGGGGTTCAACAACAGAACCAGTTACAGATACTTAAAATCACTATTTGCAGTATCTACTAGCTGGTTCTCTCCTGTAGTGAAAGCATTTCACAACTGAACAGCTTTTTCCCATCATTTAACATTTTTATAAAATACACAAATGATGATCATGTCATTACTTAGGAGCCAAATCGCTTTTTCAGAAAGGAAAAAGAGGTTTTGGTGATCTCTCTCTCCTTTTATTTCTTCCTTTTAAATTAAATGACAAGTTTTAATTTTGATTATGAATTTGCCAGTATATCAGTTGGAAAACCCCATGGTTTACCAAGGATGTTATAAGATCCTATATTCGAAGTATGGTTTACTGCATGAATGTAACAGTTGATGAATGAATATTCAAACACCTTAAATATGATTCATGTTATCTTTTGCAACATATTCTGGATTGAGGGTTTAAGTACTTATGCCAGCTGGCATTAGTGATGTCAAATTTAAGGGCTGAAAAGGAAATATTAGAAGAGGACAAAGTTATTCCTTCTGTACAAAATTACTTGTGATAAAACCATTCACCAAGCTACTGTACTTTTAAAAGATCACTGCTTTATTTTTTTCCCCCAACTATACTAAAATAACCAAGGTAGGCTTTTTTGTGTAATTAATATATTACATTCTCACACACACATATGATTCACACATATGATTCATTTGTGTGTGTGTGTATATATATATATGTATATAAAAAGGAATTCTGCTGCAAGCATCTAAGCTTAAATACATAATGGTTTGCAAAATAAAACAAGATTATAAATCTTTAGCTTACAGGCAGCTGAATTTGTTAATAGATTTTGTTTGCCCCCTCCAAGCAAATCCCAGCCCCCTCCTCTCTCTAAAAATCACAGTTAAAATGACAGTTCAGTCAGTGTTTCTCACCATTTCTGTACCAACTTACTTCAGTAACTACTCAAACACAGCAGACAAATATCATGAAGAAAAATCCAATCCTTCTTTGTATGCATCTATCGCATTCTAATATCGGCAAACAAAAAATGGCTACATCTTGATGCTTAATACTGTTACTGAAAGTTGAATCATTCATTCATTGGTCTCTATCACCCTATTCACTCCAATACAGGTACAAATTGTAGTTGTACACTTCAGACACAGGTAGTCTTTCGTCTCATTTCTCTCAGAAGAGCCTCTTCTGACAGAAACTGAGGACACCGGGACTTTTCTCTGAAAAAGTAAGAAACAGGATGCACCAACTGGTTAAGCCTACACACTGGTTTTGCTATTGTCCATTTAAGTGAAACACAAATTTAGCTCTGAAGTTATTAATTCTATAAATTTGGTTGTAAATCTGAATATTAGAGCTTTCTTTTGTATATCAACAGACTGCAGCAAGAGTTCAGTTAAACATTATTTAGGGATATCACAGAACTTAGGCTACATAAGAAAACTTAAACTATAACATATTAATTTTTCCTAAAATGAAACTTTACACTCCACATTAATTTTCTTTCCAAGAATTGCTAAGAAGATGTAAAGATGGAGGTTTCTTTATCATACCCTGTCAGTGTTGGGGTTTTCCCCCCCTCCCTATACTGAGATGTCTAGTCTAATTAACAATCTTGTGTTTTGCTTCCCATATATTCCAAGTGGTTTTAAACATTTATGCTTTCAAATATTTTGGAAATGGCTACCAAATCCACTGTATTAGTGCAAGAGCCAAAATAAAATTCCCCAACAGGTAATATTTAATGAATAACCTCTTAAATTGAAATAGTTTTTCCATACAACCTCCCTGTAAATTAAATAGATAAATTCATTACTTTACTTGCAACAATGCCAAAGACTACAAAGAGATTTTTTAGTTTTTTAGTTTCTGTTGGTGGCTGGTTTTTAACATTATTTTTTATATTTGAATGGAACTCACAATTGGTAACAAATGCTATTTTTAGTGACAATACAACTGGTTTGCAATTAGCCAAAATGCAGTGGCAGGACTTACAAATGATTTCCATTTCCAAAATCCTCTGTAAACAAAACAGCATCTGCCCGTCTCGCTACTGGTGTCACCAAAAGCACTCAGATGTCTTTTATCTGTAAGTACTATAACCCCACCTACTCCTGGGAACTTCAGAACAAATTGCTAAACTGCTGGTCTAGCTTAGCTGTAGGAAAAAGGGCAGACAAGGCTCCAGTGTTTTGCTAACACAGTCTAACGTTTTTACTTCCTCCTGCATGTTTAGTAGCTCTATCAGGAATACCTGAACAAAAGAAAAACCAAAAAAACAGGGCAATCAGTTGAGCATTGCTCTTATGAAGCCTTTTACCGGAGCTACCACGAACATGAGAAATGGAGCATGAAGAGCAGCATGCAACTGCAGGCCCAAATCTAGTGTACTGCAGCCAGCTTTTCCTGAGACTCCCTGATTTTGCTTGTGGTCACTTGCTCTTGAGGCAGAGCAAGGTTTACAGGAAATGGTATTCTGGCCATAGGAGTATGCTGCTTCCCAAAAGTCAGTGCTGAGCACCAGCGAAAAGTGGGGACAAGAATGTTGTCCAAGATCAGTTCCTAACAACGAAGGAAACAGATCTCTCTCATGTCTGAATGCCTCAGGTAAGGATGTAAGAGTACAGTATTCTTCTGTGATTACAGGAAGTTATAAATCGAGATAAAGAAGAAAAAAAAAAAAAAGGTTATCTACAGTGTTTTTCCCCCTAGTAGTTAAGACTTACTGAACAGTACAGCATACATTTGAATGCTAAACCTATTAAAACTTAAATAAGGCAATTTGAAGATAGCATACATATAGATAATATGTGTATAATATTGTATATATATTGTATATATCTTATAAATGAAAATCCACTCCTTGCCTGCCATCAAGTTGCAAATTTTTTTTTTTAGTACTGTAAAGTTCCTATCGTTACCATCAAGAAACCTGGATGTGCAAGTGGAATTCTAAACTGAACCCTAGGAGAAAATGACGCTCTTAGATTTGGTAAAAATATGGTTTCTTTCAAAGCTGGAAAGCAGGTTTGCAGAAAAGGACCTCAACTTTCATACGGATACCAAGCTGAACATAAGCCAAAAACATGCCCTGGGGACAAAGGAGGCCAACAATATCCCAGCTGCATTAGAAGTGTTGCCAGCAGGTCTCAGGAGGTGATCCCGCCCCTCTTCTCAGCACTAGTGAGGCCAGATCTGGAGAGCTGTGTCCAGTGTTGGGCTCCCAAATAATGAAAAACATGGAGCTCCTGGAGTGGGTCCAGCAGAGTGCAACAAAAATGATTAAGGGACTGAAGCATCTGTCATATGAGGGAAAGCTGAGGGAGCTGGGGCTGCTCAGCCTCAAGAAGAAAAGACTCGTGGGTATCTTATCAGTGTATACAAATACCTGAAGGGAGGGTGCAAAGAGGATGGAGACAGGCTCTTTTCAGAGGTGCCCAGTCAGAGGACCAGAGGCAACGGGCACAAACTGAAACACAGGAGGTTCCATTTGAACATCAGCAACCACTTTTTCACTGTGAGGATGCCTGAGCACTGGCCAGGTTATCCAGAGAAGTTGTGGTGTCTCCATACTTGGAGAGTTTCAAAAGACATCTGGACACAGTCCTGGGTAATCTGCTTTAGGATGCCCTTCCTTGAGCAGGTGTGGACAACATGAACTCCAGAGGTGCCTTCCAAGTTCAATTATTCTTTTTTTAAAAAATTTAATATCATATTTCAAAGCACAGCAATTTCAATAATACAATTTCATAAAGATAACCAATATGGGTTAATTTATGAGAATTCATGATACTTCGAAGCAAGAGTTGTCACTGCGCACAACTGCTATTTAAACACTTCTGACAAGGGGAAAAAAAAAAGGTGTTCTGAAAAATCGTGACACACTCTGCTATGAGATTACACTATCTTTGCTGGCATGCAAGTAACAGCTCCAGGCTGATCTGCAAATGTGAAACGGTCATGGATCAAGGTTCTCTACCTTTGACTGGCACTTTACACACGTACTTTAACCCTTCCAACTTCTGGTGCAATATCCTTCTGTGTTTGTAGCCTTACCCAAAGAGCATACATGAATCACACTTGGCTTTTTATGGTTCTTATTATCCAAAAAGCTAAGCAGAAGATTTTATGATTCTCAGCTAGAGAAGTGCTCAGGAGTACATAATACCAAACCATTTAGCTAAAGTCTGTTTTACTTGCAGATAGCCTTTTTTGAGTATTGACTCAATTTAGAAAAACAAAATAATGTCACCGGTATCACATGAGTGTATCGGTGCACCGCTGATGTTATAAACCCCTTGTTACTAAAGGTTTAGAGAATGAGTGCCACCAGCACAAAACATTAATGACTTGGCTAAAGCAAAAGAGATGCAAATATAACACAAGTACTAAAGAAGACATATTTTACATCAAGAAAACATATGACAGCGCATATTTTTTAACAAAGAGGAAATTGCTGTAATAGCAGGTACATGAGGCTCTGCCTAACGTGACTATTACCTTTCTCCTCTCAAAATTATCCCAGCAAATCAGAGTATACACCAAACTCTTACACTGGTAGAACTCAAAACTTGGCAGATTTTCTCCTTTAAGAAAAGAGGCAAAAGGTACTCTTCAGAGTAAACAGCAACCATACATGGCCACTATGCCTAGAAAGTTTATTTCTGTGAGGAGTTTAGCAAGCAAAGACATGTATTTCCAGGGAGAATTACATACAAGTGCTGTTACATTTAGGATATTGGTACCTACACTGATTTACTGAAGAGCTTTGGATTTTGCCAAAAAACCTGAATGAAGCACTACTGCTCAAACAAAAAAAAAAAACCCAAAAACGAAAATAACAACAACAACAAAAAAAATCTTACAGGAACCTGAACTACCAAGCAAAATGGCTTGAAACCAAAATCATAAAAGGGAAAAGCTACATGGGAAACTGTATTACATAAGGAGGGGATAACTGGTATCCTGAAAGAGGCCTGAAGTACATGATTACAATTATTATTTAGCAGAAGAGGCTTATTAAAGAAGGGATTAGACAGTGTACCTACAATTCAAAAGGGAAAATGAGATACAAATGAACAAGTGTCCAGAACAGGAAACTGTCAAAACAGTATATTGCTCTCATGAAGTATTCTCTTGGACACAATATCAGAATTAAAAAAAAAAATAATTAAAAAATAGGAATGGAGTTCTAATGCTCCTGTTTTAATACAGACAATTTAAGATTTGTGACCATGTAAAGTAATCAATGTTGCAAGGAAGAATGGCTACTGCTGTAAGCACTTTTGCAAAGCACAAGAGCACATGAAGAATGGAGAAGCTGTTAAGATGATCTGAAAACCATCAAAATTACATACAAAGTAGGTATTTGACATTTCTGTGAACAACATTTTAGCTCTGCTCCCCGGCATCTTTTCTTGTTTAATAATTGTAGCTAGTTTCTGTTAGTTCTGTATGTTATCGATGAGCGCGTGTTAAATGAAGTAATATTTTAGCAGACTAAAGATGACAACGCATATTTGGATTCCATCTCTTTTAAAGAAACTGCAGTTTTCCGAATAGAATGGATTCTGTAACACCATCTGGTGTTACAGAAAATGGCATCTGATATAAAATACAAAATCAAATAAAAAACCCAAACAAACTTATTTTTCTTTCTACCCTTCCCCACAGAAGTTAAAAAGAATCAAAGTAACATTTAAAGATTGGTCTACAGGTTTTGGACATGTATAGCAGAACTACATAAATAGTATACTTCCCACAGCTGCTTGCTTTACAACAGAGGACTGCTGATATGAAGGACTCCTGGATTAAATTCCATCCAATTTTAGACAGATAACTTATACATAATTTGAGTGGTCAGATCCTGGTACTCCTGTGCCCCCCAAGTTTAATGGGCTTCCTCCAGGAAACCCTGATTTTGTCTCATTTTTAAAAGCTGACAGCCATAACTTTCTTACCAAGCTCTTGGGTACTGATGCCATGTATTAATTTTGATTTGCTTACCATGGAAACACATAGACAAAGATGAAAGAGAGCCCACAAATAAAACAAGAGAAAGAGGTTAAAAGGCTTAGGATTTTTTTTCTTTTAGATAAGTTAACATTTCTTTCCAACCTTGCAAAAACAAAGAATGTCTAAATAATCCACGGAAGACGAGCTTTTCATTTTCTCCAGTTCTTCAGCAAACTTAAGACAAGCACAAGTCTGCAGCCTAAGGCAGATTCCACTGCAACTAAGACAACTTGACACTTCCAGTAAATGTCGTCAGACAACATCCATCCAGCTTAGAAAGAATTTTTTTTAAATGAAGCTTACAGATTCAGTTGTGCTTTTTATTTTCCTGGGAACAGCAGTGATTACTACACTTTAGAATAACAAATTATGGAAAGTTTTTCAGGTAATAGTTGTATCTGAACAGGTCAGAATTCTCTCTTCTCTCAGAGACATTTTCCTCCAGCCTTACATGCTCACAAAGTCCAAGTATCAAGTATGCAAGTACAATTAGATTCCCCTCATAGTCAAAGCCATTGGTCATCTAGTCATTGAGATTACAGATGGCAGCACTGGAGACCCCATTAACAGGAGATGCGAACACATTAATCAGCAAGTCATTCTGTAATAAAGTTCTTGACCACTAAGACAAGATGACGGTAACTAACACATTCCTTAGCTACTCTAAAGTAGGACAGGCTGTACTGAATGTTTTATTTTCAAACAAGCATCTGTGTATTTCTGTGTATTTTCAAACAAGCATCTGTATTCTATTTCACTGCTTGTTGTATTTAGGAATAGTACCTCACAAATTTCCAGAAAGCTATTATTTTCCTCCTAACACACCTAAGAATTTATTTAGCAAAAATAAAGGACAAACCTGTTATACTTTATCTAACACACCAGAAAACATTGTCATGGATTTTTCTATTTACTATGTCTGAATTTGTCAGTTTATCCTGGATGATACACTCTTTGGGACAGGGACCATCAGTAATGAGCGTAATTCAATAAAGACCCGAGTGCACGTTGGTATACAGAGCTTAGATGGTGGCTGCTACATACTCTTGATATTTTGGCAATACATTATGGAAGAAATAATCACCAGGCCCATTGAGCTTACTCACCTAAAACAACACTTGATATCAGGCAGGAAAGCACAAAATTTAAATTTATTCTTAGCACATTAAAAGAAATTTATGAAAGGTCCAGATCATTCCTGGCAGGCATTTCTCACTCAGCCTGCACAGAAAAGGAACAGAATCTGGAACCAAATAAAGCATATCCACACTTATAAAAATAATCTTCCTTTAACAGCCTTACTGAGCTGTGAGATTGCTAATGAATGTTGTATACAAACAACATTCATGTATTTTAAAACGATGTGAATTGAAACTGTAGTATCATTCATTGATATTGTTAAATCTAAAGCTTGTCTCAACAGTTACACTGACCTGGTTTTTTAAGGACTTTAACCAGCCAATATGAAAGCATTTTAAAGTAAATTATATTCTAAGAAAATCCTAGTGCCAAATTCCCCCTTTTAACACAGTAAGAAAACAGTAAACATCCAAAAGGATGTTCTGAATGCACGAACAGACAAATCATGTGTCTGCACTAACAAAACAAAAAGACTACAAGCGAAACTGCAAAATGCTTAACAAATAACACCAAAATCAGAGTAACAAAGGAAGTCTGAACGAGCCTTAAGAAAAATAAGCTCATAAACCTACAAATGTATTCTAAAGGTGTATCTTCACTGACCAAAAGGAAGCTATTATTCCCTAGCTATGCAGCGCCACACTTTGTGGTTTGAGTCAGTCTTTTCTATAGTTTTAACAAACCATGAATATTTGGGAGAGAGGAAATAAACTGAAACAGACAAGTGAAAAACAAATGCAAAGATTTCTATTACAATAATCCATCAAACGAGAAGAAACAAAAGATTAATAAGATTATACAAAATGTTTTGATGGTAGGGTTTTAATATTTGCCATATGTCAGCATGAATAATGTGACTTATACAGTCAATATATAATTGTATGATCTATGTTTGATAATCTCAGTAATAATTAGCAGCCTAACAAGCAGTCTTAAGCATAGAAACAGGTGATTCACAAGGCCTAGAGTCAGAACATATGGATACTAATAGTGTATTAAAAAACGGTAGAGCTAAGCCTTTGTTTACTACATTCCCCACGGCAACTACTACTACAGTAATACTTTTCACAAGTTTCTGCAAAAAACTGCATGTAATTAATACATGGGTCATGCATGAACATAACACAGAGCGAAATAGCACACTAAAAGGCCTCTCAGTTCAAAATGAAGATTATTTAAGTTCTATTATTTGCTTCTATTCCAGAAGAGAAGTTTAGAAAATTGTAACCAGCTGCAAAGAAAAAGAATAAAAAGTACACATGCATTCCCCCTCCCCACCAAATATGTAATAGACCAAAATAAGAACACATTCACACTTTATAAACGATAGCTAGTCATGAGAACACATACAATAATCACTGAACCTCTCACTCTACTCAGCAACTGAAAAGGGATCCACCAAATACAGCTTCCTTGTTTTCGCAACAACACAATCTTAAACAAGGGGTTACAGCAGGGAGATAATGAGATAATTTAGTGTTATAATTATGTCTCGTTGTTTCCTGTTTGGACTTTTAAAACCATTAATACCATCAGAAGAGCAACAGCCTTAAACTGATGGAGGGCAAGTTTAGGTTAGACATTAGGGAGAAGTTCTTTACTAGGAGGGTGGTGAGGCACTGGAACAGGTTGCCCAGAAAAGTGGTGAATGGTCCATCCCTGGAAGTGTTCAAGGCCAGCTTGAATGGCGCTTTGAGCCCTGGTCTAGTGGAAGATGTCCCTGCCCATGGCAGGGGGCTGGAACTAGATGATCTCTGACGTCCCTTCTAATACAAATAATTCCATGATCCTGTGATAAATTATGGGTTTAGGGTGGAACTTCACCACAAGAAAGTTCTGAAAAGGGAGACTGGAGACAGCTAAGTTGAACTGCTCAAAATATATTAAAGTACCAAGAATCCAAGTCAAACATGATGCAAGCTCAAAATGGTTTTTAGACAGTAGAATCCAAGTCAGAGTGAAAGAAAGGTCTTTTAGCTTCAGTCAACCTATGAGACAAAAATGTCATGAAGGAACAACTCTACAGGTTGTTTTTTTTTTTTTTTTTGGTGCAGCTCTGACATCTATGTTGCACAGCTTTACCGAACAAAAATGAATGCTATCCACCGTAAAAATGTTTTAAATGGTATTTGCCATTTCTATTACACAAAATAGTACATAATAAAATACCTAGACTAAAGTACGAAATTGAAAAATCTTACTAAGTTGGTGTGATATACATTAAGCCATTCCAGAAATGTTTGTGTTCGTGTATTTAACAGCACTGGAAATGAATCCTGACTGCATAACTGAAGAAACAGAACCAGAAAAACAAATATCTCTGCTTACAGAGACAGAGGAGGCCATTACATATTCAATAAATATAAGCAGAAATTAAACTGGTAGAATGAACAAACGAGTGTAGATGGAGAAGGTAAAACTTAAGAAACTTAATTAGGCTGTTTCGTTTGTACTTTGTGTTTTATTATACACTTTTTCTCTTATTCCAGCAACAGAAGGATCTTCTCTACTCATATTCCAAGCACAGGGTCTACTACTAAAACAGTGAGAACTATAAATAATTTTCCCTTTTTATAAATAGCAATGAATTTTGAGTACTCTTATCTGCAAGGATACTGTTCAAGTAATCGAAATAAGCGAGGAGAAGTTGTTAACTGTTTTATTAGCTGAAGAAAAGCAATCAGCATTTTATTATACATCCTGAAAAGCAAGGTCAAAAGACCAAGAGCATATTACAAGTAACTGCTTTAGTGGTGCTAACAGACAATCTCTAATTTTTCAGCCAAATTTTTCCCTATTTAGGAATTTAAGCCTCAAGTACCAGCTGTATCATAGAAGTCCATCTGACAGAATTCTGTAGACTTTGTTCAAAGCCCAACATTGGGAATGCATTCATCACATATGAGCTTTACATATAGGAGGTACAGTAGTGTTTTTCAGGACTCTACTTCTTTAATTTGGTCATTCAGATATCAAAAAGTTGTGCTGGGAAAGAAGAAAAAAACATTCTCTAATCATGCAGTAATTCCGAGACAGAATTCATTTGCCTGTGATTTTAATAATACTGTGAGGAATGGATAGAAGACTTTTTTAGTTCTTAATAATCGTAATAATAAAAGTGACTATTTGAGTTAAAGAATTCTAGCACTGTCACTCTGCAATTTTAGCTCACCCTTGTTTTCTTAAGCCTTGTGTTGACTGGGAAGTGTTGTGTGACCAGTACTCAACACAACCGTCTAGCTGAGGCAGTTTCATAAAAGACTAAGTTAAAAAGTGATATTGACTATTCCACATAAAAAGCCGATTAAAAGAACCAAACCAAAACCAACAACAAAAAACCCCCACAAACCCAAGCCAAAAA